GATTTCCGGCAACTGCATGGGAATGGCGCATCTTGGCCCAATAACACCGTTATACTTATAAGGGCTCCAGAGTGGGCGGGGGAAAGGGGCTGCGAGAGAGACAGGGGGAGAGAGAGGGGGTGGGGTAGAGATGGGAGCAGGGAGGAATTGCACCTCAGTACACTCGTCTCGGTTGAAATTGTGTTTGTGTCTGTATATATGTGTAGCATCGGAAATGCACATCTTATTGTATATGTTTTTGTCCATGATGACCGCGGCATTACCCTTGTCGGCTGAGAGAATGACGATATCTTCCCTCTTTTTTAATTGAAACAACTAAAAGCGCTCCTCACTGATGTTTCTGGCTGGTATCTTAGCGCTTTTGAGGGTTGCAGTGATTTCAGATCTTGTTACATCTGCAGCGATGTGTCCCAAACCCTTAAGGGCTACACAGAGGCGTAGCTAGGGGGGGGGGGGGGGGCAGGGGGTACATATGTCCCCGGGCGACAAGGTAAAGGGGCGCCAAAATGAGGCTTACAACTTTACATTATAACTTATTGCGGCGGGCGCGGCAGCCTGAAACTACTGCACAAATCTACACCTCAACCTAAAAGTTTATATATCCCGCCACACACAGCCTACATGTCATGTAATAACATTTTGGTATGTGATTAAACGGGGGGGGGGGGCGCCAATTTTATAGTTCGTCCCCGGGCGCAAAATATCCTAGCTACGCCTTTGGGGCTACATCGACCTGTGCAATTTCATCAATTGGTATGTGTTTGGGGGTTAATGCAAAGTTCAATCCTTTAGCCAAAACCGACTTTAGACCATCGGAGATTGGGCTATTACTCAGATTTGTAACAACCTTGTCAAGGTCTAACTTTTTAATGTGTGGATCTGGTTTCTTCTTGGAAAGGAGGTTGAATTTGGAAATCAGATCATCTTTACATTTAGCTGACATTGTAGCGGCTGATAAAGCGGTCATGTTATCTACATGTTCCCAATCAGATGTTGACCTTTTTTCTGTCAATGTTAAGTGTAAATTCAAGAGTGTCTTGTCTGCATGATCCAGTTCAGTGCGGAGCAGTCTAATTCTCTCAAAGATCAGGGCCAAGCTAGCTCTAAACAAAATTCGTTTGGCATTGGAAGATGTGACAGTAGCAGAGGTCAGTGTGAATGAGATCGTTATTACCTTCGAGTCGCGGCATCGCTTCAGAAATGTGAGTGACTCGATCAGATGAGCTTTCTTGTCTCGGAGTTTGTTAAAAGATCTTATGGTTATGTGGAAACCCTCCCCGTAGAGGCGGTTAAATTTAGACTTAAAATCATGTTGTGGTATCATGTTGTGGTATTGCACTGCCACTCAATGCTGCTTTTCACACCTGTGGCGTACACTTGCACAGGCAATTCGTTTCTGTGACGCAACAGCTGTCAGAGCCACAGTTCAGATCCCAAACCCTGTGCCACTGCGAAGATCAACAACACAGTTTGCGCTTACTACGTGACAAAGCACGCATTAAATATCCATGATTCTATCCCATGTGATAGCCGGTAATGTCCACTAAAACTCAGTTCTTCAGTATCACATTCCTTTCTCTGACACTGTTGTAATTCCTCTTGATTTCATCATTTTGATCGCGGTCCGCCTTCAATAATTCCGCAGGATAGACGACATCACGCACATCCTGCTGCGGCTTCCCTTCGTGTCGTCGTCGTTGACCCAGCAGTGGTTCTGCTCTCTCGTTGCCCGCACGATCCGTGCGGTGCCGACCCGAAGAACCGAGTGTGAATGTTTACCTGAAGACTCATCACGTGAGTAACTACAACATACATCGAGCGTGTCTGTCTCCACACACAATACAAGTACTGTGCTGAATAATTTACACATCCCATCAGCTATACCGCCTTCTGTGAGTTTAATCTTATCAGCAGTATTGAATCAACGCAAAGCAAAACTCGAGACCGGCTTTGACAGTCAGTGTCTCATCAGCAGTCAGGCTTGCTGGAACCAAAGCTGGCGATCTGCTGGATGTCTCCAAGCAATGACTGTTAGACTTGGGTCCACATTTTGGGGAGGAGGGGTTTTGGGGGTGGGGTTTTCGGGAGAGGAGTTTAGAGTTGGAGGGGTTTAGGGTGGGGTTTTGGAGGCAGTTTGGGGGGAGGGGTTTAGAGGGGGTGGGGATTGGGGGGGAGGGCTTTTAGGGGGTTGGGGTTTAAGGTTCAAGTTCAAGTTCATTTATTAGGTACTAGCTGTACTACCCGGCTTCGCCCGGGACTTGTATCCACCACGGCCGGCCGCCTTTGCCTCCCCAGTGGCGATGTTAATACGCCACACCAGTTACTCGTTTGAGGCTGAGTCGACCTATGGGAGGTTCAAATGATCTTGACCGGTGGTGGCCATGAGCGGGAATCGAACTCGGTTCGCCGGGTTGGTATCGCAGCGTAGCGTTAACCACTACACCCACCGCTCCTCACACACACAGACGCACAGACACACACACAGACACACACACAGACACACACACACAGACACACACACACAGACACACACACAGGCAGCACGCTAAGCACTACACTACCATTCCCTCTACACACCACACACGCACACACACAGACACAGACACAAACACACACACAGACACACAGACACACAGACACACACACAGACACACAGACACACACACACAGACACACACACACAGACACACACACAGACACACACACACAGATACACAGACACACACACACAGGCAGCACGCTAAGCACTACACTACCGTTCCCCCTACACACCACACACGCACACACACAGACACACACACAGACACACACACACAGACACACACACACAGACACAGGCAGCACGCTAAGCACTACACTACCGTTCCCCCTACACGACACACGCGCACACACACAGACACACACACAGACACACACACACAGACACACAGACAGACACACACACAGACACACACACAGACACACACACACAGACACACAGACAGCACGCTAACCACTACACTACCGCTCCCCACACACCACACACGCACACACACAGACACACACACAGACACACACACACAGACACAGACAGCACGCTAACCACTACACTACCGCTCCCCACACACCACACACACACACACAGACACACACACAGACACACACACACAGACACACACACACAGACACACACACACAGACACACACACAGGCAGCACGCTAAGCACTACACTACCGTTCCCCCTACACAACACACGCGCACACACACAGACACACACACAGACACACACACACAGACACACAGACAGACACACACACACAGACACACAGACAGCACGCTAACCACTACACTACCGCTCCCCACACACCACACACGCACACACACAGACACACACACAGACACACACACACAGACACACAGACACAGGCAGCACGCTAAGCACTACACTACCGTTCCCCCTACACAACACACGCGCACACACACAGACACACACACAGACACACACACACAGACACACAGACAGACACACACACACAGACACACACACACAGACACACATACACAGGCAGCACGCTAAGCACTACACTACCGTTCCCCCTACACAACACACGCGCACACACACAGACACACACACAGACACACACACACAGACACACAGACAGACACACACACACAGACACACACACACAGACACACACACACACACACAGACACACAGACAGACACACACACACAGACACACACACAGACACACACACACAGACACACAGACAGACACACACACACAGACACACACACACAGACACACACACACAGACACACAGACACAGGCAGCACGCTAAGCACTACACTACCGTTCCCCCTACACGTCCATAGGTACACATACACGCGCTTGCTGCAGACACACACATACACACACATACATACACGCACATACACATACACACAAACACATACACACACATGCATACACACAGACATACACATACATACAAACACACACATACATACACACAAACACATACACAATACACACACACATACATACAGACACACACATACATACACACAAACACATACAGACACATAGACATACACATAAACACATACACACATAGTCATGACCCGGCTTTGCCCGGGACTTGTATCCACCACGCCCGGCCGCCTTTGTCTCCCCAGTGGCGATGTTGATACGCCACACCAGTTACTCGTTTTGAGGCTGAGTCCCTCCCTCGCCACTCTCCCTCCCTCGCCACTCTGCCTCCCTCGCCACTCTGTAGAGGACGTGAAATTTGTATGAATTTACCTCAGAGTGGCGTGTTGGGTGTCGAGGCCTAGCACCGTGCAGAGCCTCCCGCCTTGCCTGATTTTCCCACCCGGCGAACGCTGGGTACGGGTGCCGGTCCCCCCCCCCCCCGCGCTATTAAAAATGGCGTCCACCCCGCGGCGAAAAGTTGCTACTCGTTGCCAGGGGCAACCGCCGTCCAATGAAAGCGGCGAAGGCGTCGTTAGCTGTTGCCAGGGGCAACCGCCGTCCAATGAAAGTGCGTATGGTCCGAAATCCACACACACATACACAGACAGACAGACATGCACGATTTTATATATATAGATAGCCCTGTGAGCCATTCGGCTCTTGAATCGGGTGCAACCGCAACAAACAGAAAACAAGAACATGAAGAAGAAAACATCTTAAAGTGACTGTGCAAACAGAAAATCCAAGAAAAGACAGCAAAATATTGCAGAAAAAGCACCGTACACCAACACTGTGTGCAAAAATCCCAATGGGATGCAAATCAAACAACAACAACCACAAGACAACAAAGGTGGGAGGGGTTTAGGGGGGAGAGGGGTTTGGGGGCCGGGTATGGGAAGGGGGGGTTCGGGGGGAGGGGTTTAGAGGTGGGTCGGGTTTGGGGGGAGGGGTTTTAGGGGGTTGGGATTTAAGAGGGAGGGGCTTAGGGGGAGGGGTTTAGGGGGAGGGGCGCGGGGGGGGGTGTCACGTGGTGGTGGGGGTGAGGGTGACGTCACTGCGCTGCGTTCCGCGCGGCGACTCAAGATGGCGCGCGGCGTGGAGGAGGCGCCGCCACAGCGGCGGGAGCGCTGCCGCCGCTGCTGCTGCCGCCGCTGAAGCCGCTGCTGAAGCTCCGGCTCCTGTGGCAGTCGTGGCCGTGGTCGGTAGTCGCCGCGTCGCTGTCGGGGCTGTCTCAGTGTCAGCGGTTGTTGTACATCAGTGGCGACGTCACGAGTACGTGGGGCGCAGAGAGCTCGGAGAGACCGCGCGGCGTCACCGCCACCAGCAGCAGCAGCAGGAGGAGGAGGAGGAACTCGCGGCTGGCGGCATGAAGGAGGAGGAGGAGGAGAGCGGGGGCGGCGAGCGCGGCCCGCAGGGACACGGCACAGTCATCACCACCGCCGTCACCACCACCACCCCGACCTCCACCAGCACCACCACCTCCACCATCATCGCCGCGGCTTCGCGTGGCCGCGCCTGCAGCCCCAGGGAGCCCAGCGCGGCCGCGCTGGCCTCGTCGGGCTGGAGCCGAGTGCGGCGGCGCTTCCCGCGTAGCGCCACGGCGAGCGGGGCCGCCCTGCAGCACCACCAGCAGCACCACCAGCAGCAGCACCACCAGCAGGGCCACCTCCTGCAGCAGCAGCAGCAGCATGCGGCACCGCACTGCAGGCCGCGGGCGGCGCGCCTGGAGGCCCGCGAGCGCGAGTGGCTCCGCGCGGACCGCGGCCGCGGCTGCGTGCGGCTCCACGGGCCCGACGGGGCGAGCTGCGGCCGCGCGCTGCTCTGCACCGAGGCCACGGAGGCGCGGGAGCTGCTGCGCATGCACGAGCAGCAGCAGGCGCAGGCCAAGCACAAGCTGGACCAGCGCCTGCAGGTCAAGCCGCAGCCGCAGCAGCAGCAACAACATATGAAGCAGGAGTTGCAGCAGCAGCAGCAGCAGCTGTTGAAGCAGAATCAGGTGCAGCAGATGCTGAAGCGACAGACTCAGAGACGCCAGCTGCAGCAGCAGCACGAGTCCGTGAGCCCCGTGCGCGGGAGGCGCTCGGACGAGGACAACGACGAAGGCGAAGAGCAAGAAGAGGGAGAGGAGGAGGAAGAGGAGGAAGTGGAGGACGAGGAGGGCCAGGAGGAGGAGGCCGCGGCGACGCGGCGGCAGAGGCCGGCGCTCTACGTGCGGCTCGTGGGCCACGAGGTGGTCCGCAGGGTGGGCCCCGGCGAGCGGCCCTTGCGCCTGCAGAGAGACTTCCTGGAGGCGCTCGGCTACGCGGAGCCGTGGCGCCTCCAGGAGGAGGGCGCCGCGGCGGAGCTCGCAAGCCTCTTCAGACTGCACCTGGGTGGGTACCGCGCGATGCAGGCACCCCTGGGGCTCTAACGAGAGAGGAGATACAGAGGAGGGGGGGGGGGGTCTGTTCTTTTTCTTTCGTATTGGCTGATGTAGATGCAGAGTGGTCAGATACGAGGTGGGCAAGCCAGACCAGCGGCGTCAGGAGTAGCGGAGTGTGTCGCAGCGACTTCACGGAGGGGGTGGTGATGGTGGCAGTGGTCTGGGTTGGGTCAGGGTCTGCGAAATATCAGCGCTTGTGTTGGGACCTTCAAAGATGTCTTTGGGGGACCCAAGTTCACCCTCCTTCGCGGTCTCACTCTCACAGTGCCCCCCACACAACACCTGTACTGCCCTCTCCCCCTTCCCAATCCAAGAGGAGCTGTAGCCGGGGCTTCTTCTGGCATGGAGCTGAATCCGGACCTGGAAATCTTGTGAAACTACTGGAGTTACTCTTTGGTTCTTTCGGTAAAGTCACGTAGAAAGAAAACAAATTAAATAATTAATAGAGTACGGCGTTTAGATTGAAACAAGCAACCGTCATCAGGTAGAACTAAATTTGAGAGAGAGACAAAACACAGACACGGAGACACACAGACACACAAGCAGAGAGAGACACAGAGAGACACACAACATAGACACATGTCTATGTTTATGTTGTGTGTCTCTCTCTGTGTGTCTGTGTCGTCTCTCTCTCTGTGTGTCTATGTTTATGGTGTGTGTCTGTCTCTCTCTGCTTGTGTGTCTGTGTGTCTCCGTGTCTGTGTTTTGTCTCTCAAATTTAGTTCTACCTGATGACGGTTGCTTGTGTTGCAATCGAAACGTCGTACTCTATTATTTAATTTACTTTATTTCTACGTGACTTTACCGAAAGAACCAAAGAGTAACTCCTGCAGTCACGAAAGCTTCAAATCAAGTTTAAACTACTGGAGCTTTATAGCTCATCGGATTCCTTCAGTATGAGTAAAGATTCTGAGTTATAGGTCCTGCGCGCTGTGGGGAGCGAGAGAGAGAGTTGGCAGAGCAGTCGATGTGAAGTGATGCGCCTTACAAACACACCGCGTAGCTGTGTAAACCACTGTGGAAGGTAGAGAGGGTTAAACCTGATACTCAGACGGTTGGGGGCGGGAGTAATGTCTGCCTTACGGTAATAAGGTCAGAGCTGGGCTTTACCACATCAACTGGAAAATAAGCGTCTGGCTTTTGAGTACAGGTGCGTGCAGAGGATGCTATCAATGTAATGACAGGTGACAGAGGAGAAAGCCACATGGAGGGGGACAATGTGTGAACGCTTATTTTAGAGGTGCGCTGGAAAAAGAGAGGAGGTTGCGTGACGAGTGTGGAACGCGCTTGGTGGAGGAGGAGGCAGCCGCCGATGCGGGCATTGGGGCGGCACCCACCAGAGGTCGAGGGGAGGTTGCTCACGGGCACCACACGGCGCCTCGTCAGGCGTGGAGCCATGCCGCGGTGGCTATGAGATGTTATCTCCCTCGTCCGGTATGCAGGAGGTCGTTGGTTCAATCCCGACTCTAACGCCTGCCGCATATTTGGAGTCTGCGTGTTCTCTCTCTTCCCGTGATCGCGTGGATTTATCTCCGGGACCTCCAGTTTTCCCCTCCACATTTAAAAACACGCGTTTAGAGTATTTAGTTGCTTTATACATTTCCACATGATAAGCCACTTCGTTGAGGTATCAATTGTGACCAGGTCGCTTCTGAAAAATAGCTATACTTTCCTGGTAACATAAAAAATAGTTTAGTTCAGCTGCATCGGCCATGATGACATCTTGACCTTCACGTCGTGGGGGGGAGGAGGAGGCTTCGCTGACCGGAGTTTTGCTGACTGCTAGATTACGGAGTGGCCTCGGCTCGTGGTGTGAGTGTGTGGGGGGGCCGGTGTCGAGTGGGAAAAAGCTCCGCGACCGACCCACCCACCCCGTGCCTCCCACTGCCCCCAGCGGGGCCGCACTGGGCGCAGTGTTGCTGTGTAATCAACTCCTCGGCGAGGGTTAACGGGGAAGGCGTCATCAGCCCGGGTTACGTAAGTGGCTCTTTAATTTGTCGCCGTACGACTCGAGTGCCGTTGGCTATTAACGGAGCTGGGGACGCGTTCTTTCGTTGCGCACGCATTGCCGCCGCGTGTCTGCAGCGGGAGTTGAACTGTGGACTCTGCACTTGCCTCTTGGCCGTGGGGGGGCGTTCCGTGACGGGCCCATTCTGGTCACCCGGTACAGAGGTCAGGTGCAGTCACCTCCCCAGGCCCTCCACGCCCTCAGCTGTGTCACTCGGCAGGCGGGGGTGGGGTTGTACAGCCGAAGCGCCCTGCTCGTGAGCTTATCAGGGCATTTATAATAAGGGGAGGGGGGGTGGAAGTGAGCAAGCCACGCTTAACTCCTGGCTTCTCCGTCGCAATGGCTTTTCTCGGCTGCTGGCATTGACGGCAGTGTAATCGGAGTGATGTCGACATGCATTCCCGCACAGCTGCCAAGGCCACAGATAATTGCGCCCCGCAGCACAGTGCGTAGAATCCTGGCATTTAAACGCTGTCGCTATCACGTTTACGCCGCGGTGTGGGCACGAGATGTCTCGGCCTTCGTAACGGCGGTGTGTGGCATGGAAAGCTCCCAATGTTTAAAGGGCTTAATGCGTGCCCCTGTGAGCTTAGGTGCCAAGGCGTTGTGCACGCACTACGGTAATGTCACCTGACATACGGGCACAGTGACGCTGTTTGCTGTACCGAAATCACCTCCACGTGTGTGTATTGCTGCTACTCTCGTTTCTCGTCATTTACAGAAAGTATTCGTTTTAAGAGCTTAAGCTTGTTTGGAAACATGTGTGGCCAAACATTATTGCGCATCATTGTATGCATTAATTCTACACGGATCTCTGTAAGCGGCTTTTCAAATGAGAGCAACCAAATTACATCATAATCGGTCATTTTCAGGGTGAAGGGAGGTAAGCAGTGCAGATGTCCAAGGATGAATTCTACATTTGGTATTTTGAGTGAGGATTTGGAGTTTGAAGCATCTATTAGAGTTTTTTTTCTAGCAGGGAAGATGAGGAACATCTTTAAAAATAAAACAGTTCAAAAACGGACATGAAGGAGCCACAGTTGAGAAATTAGAAATAAATTAACTTCTCAGAATAAAACCCCCGGGATTGTCAGAGTTGTTTCTGGCCTCGGAAAATTCATCACAAGTCGTGATCACAGGCTAACGCGATGTAATCGGAATCGCCAAAGAAAGAACCAAAGCTAATTACAGGCAAAAAACAATGCACTTAGCATTGAAACTGCAGTTCAAGTGGGGGGAATTTAGACTGCTTCCAAGCAACAGATTAAGATAGTGTAGCCAGAAAAGGAAAATCATTAAGTAATGTCACCAAGTTAAATAATAATAATACAGCTGACGTGTTCCAGAAGGGGCTTGATGTGGAAAGTTGGGGGCAGAATAATACAATTTAAAACCAGCTACGTGAAATCGCAACGTGCATGTCGCAGAAAGAGATTGATTTTTTAAAATTCCAAACAAAGATGGAATGTACAGATGTCTGTAAAACCATTAAGGAAAGAATGTGTAAAGGAGTTGGAGAACGAAACTTAAAAAGATTGACAATTTCAGTGTTAGAGCAGAAACACGGTGGGGGGGGGGGGGGGGGGCGATGATTGGCAAATGACAAATATTGCCCATTAAAAAAAAACTACTTGGGATGACAAAGCGTGAAAGGATCACAAAACTGGTCGGAACAACTCTATGAAGATCTTCATATCCAAAAAGAGGATGACATGAACTAGTGCACGGGGAGCGAGGAATCGCCGGACTGTGAGTGATGGTGCCAACGTGGGGAAGCCTTCATCCTGCAGCGAAAAGAAAATGGCTGATAATGACATCCATCTGTGCATTAGCAGCACATAAAACACATTTCTCAAAATGCACCTTCTTTGGCAGTGGCAACGGCAAACATATTGCTCAACTTCATATTTAAATGTGGAGGTTTTGCATTTTTTTTTACTGCTCAGTAACACTTTGAGAACGTTTTCACCGAAGGATGCAATCGTATATTTCAATAAGAAATATACGTGAAAATGTCATGAAGCAAAGTAGATTATATACCAATGCAGACATACTCATCACATACACCCAAAATCATTAAATGGATTTACCTCTGTAACATAACACTTTCTCTCAAGCTCGTAAAGGTGTGAATGCAGAGGCGGTTTGTCAAGTGTTATACATTACAGTTTATTCTTTAGAATTTGCTCTGGTGTGTGGCAATTTGGCCCTTTATATTCAGCTGATTTTATTACTCAGACTTTGCCCCAGTGTCTTAGTATTTAATCATAACCTGCGTGTGCTGCTTCCAGCTGGTGGAGACTGCTGTTCAATGGACAGGGCCGTAGCTTGTCTCGCAACCAAGATAGTGTTATGGATTTAGCTGCATTGGTAAGAGGTAGTATGCACATAAATGTGATGGTGGATAACACAAACGAGCTTCATGGGATTAACCTCCATACACAACATTCACGAAGTGGCGCTGCTGCTTCAGGCTGCTATTCAGTTTCACCTTTGTTTATATCAACAGATTCACCCACAGAAACACATTGTAGTAGCAACGTGTATGCACACAGCACGAATCACGCCCATGCCTATAGGGGCAATACATTTAGTACGTACGCATAGGAAACGGGGTGGGGGGGGTGTGCCTCGATAATAAGTTGTCTTCATTGGCCTTCAAATTAGATAGTCCGGCGGTGGACTATCTGTTTGCTTAAACACGTCAATATTATTCATCCTTGATCGTTTCTGCGTGGATTAAATATCTATCGTCCGTTCTATAGGATTCGGGGGGGTGGGGTGCGTCAAGCATACGCACACACGCAGGTGGGGGGGTCAGTGTAAAAAGTGTGCGTACAGGGAGGGGTCAAGTTTTGACAGATTTTTGCGTACGTACTAAATGGAAGGCCCCATACTATGCAAATAATGCCGTGCACATACATTTCCTGTCTCGATTGCAT